GTCGATCCTCTGTTGCCAAGCTTTTCTGCTCCAGCTTTTAATGGCTGCAGTGATGCCACGATGTCACGAATTACAGTAACTTCTTGTTTGTCAAGATCAAAATTGTCCGTATCTTTATTACAGTCAATGATTGCTTTCGATATGGATGATCTTATTTTAATAAATCGCTCTAACATGGCTAAAAGGCTATTCCATCGGGTTTTGGAATCCAGAAATAAGTGCAAATTTTTCCCATGTTCCTGTTCAACGTATTTTTGTAAGATGTTATTCTTTAAAGGTGATTTGCGAAAAAATTTTGCTATTTTTCTAACCTTATTAATGATTTGAGAACAGACGATTTCATTACCTAGTGTGTCATGTAATTCAAATGAAATATCTATATCGAAAGGATCTTCAGCCAAACGCTCACACAAAACACTTTCAAAATCAATACTATAACTAAAGTCTTCTTCATCTTTCTCAATATCGTCATTGCGCTCTTCATCTTCAGTTTGAATTTCTTCAGAAAGAGGGACTGCTACTGAAGTGGTTGACTTTTGGTACAAAACATCACATACCGCTAAATGAATTCCGTGTGCATAACATAACTGATGCTCACATTCAATTAACCTTCCAAATTTCACCATTACAGCTGCACCATCAGTAACACAAGCCACCACGTGTTTTTCTAAAGATATGTGAAATTCTTTTAACTTTTCTTTGATTACTTGGACAGCAGTTTCTGCAGGTAGAACATTGGAAATCTTCACCATTCCTAAGTTCCAAAATGTTCCGTCACTTTTGTGTATGTTTATATTTAAATACCGGCGATTGTTTAGTGAAGTATATTCATCCAAGGATAAACTAAACCTTGATCCTCCATTTATTTGGCTATCAATTTCAGAACATAATCGTTGTTTGATTTGTTTGTAATGCGAATGGATGAGATCCATTACATCTGATGGATTTTTTGGTAAAGTGTATCCTCTGTCTGTCAATGATTTTCTGATGAACTCACTTTTTGTAATAGAGTTGATAGAGATGCCATCTAAAGTCACAAGTTTTGTTACTATTTTCTTCACTATTTCTTCACAGACGACAGTGGGGAATTTGTAGGTCTACAATTTCTTCAAATTGCAGCCCAAAAAGAGATATTTATAAAATAAAATTAATTAATTAAATACAATGTTTATTTTTATTATAATATTTCTCTTTATTACAATATTTATGCAATACTAGCTGTACCTGGCCACGCGTTGCTGTGGCTCAAAATGTATCTATTATAAATGTATACTCCCCGCGGGAGGAAATTTCGAAAAATCCCTTCTTAGTGTACATTCTCTTGACGTACCCTATTAAAACGCAATCAAAAACGCAAAAGCCGCATCTAAAATAGAATAATAGAAGACCAGTTCTTCACTGTAAACCTTAATTTTGTCCCTCGCCCCTGCGGGGGAGAATTTCGACAGCTATATAATATAAAAACGCACGTATTCGAATGCAACGTTGTGTCAAAATTTCAAAGCAATCGGTTAAGAACTTTCAGAAATTTAAGATTTTGAACAAACGAACATTTACATTTTTATTTATATAGATTACAATATGAAGAATCGATGAAAAAAAGGACATAAGTAAAACTTAAAAAGACATTCATTCTTTTTCAATCGATTAACATTTTAAATTATGGTGTTCTCTGTTTCGTGAAGTGAAATATCTTTGAAAAATCATGTGAAAGTAAATCTAATGGCACTATGAGCACTATGAATTAATTCTCTATGATTCCAGAAAAGTGCGAATTTCCCTAAAATTATTGGGCATATTTACGTATATAAGTATTCATACGAAATATATACGTAAGTAGGCCCATGTGGAGGTATATAGATTCTTAAGTAGGCCTATATACCTCCACGTATATTTACGTTTTCATACTTTATACCGCCTGTGACTAAAGAGGAAAGAAATAAGCGCTCGTTTTCTATATTCAGAAGGGATCAATTTGAAATAAACCAGCGATGAGTTACTCAACTTTCCCAGCAACATTTAAAATTTTTGGTGGCGCCATCTGTTAGTCATATTTTATTTTAAAAACTTTTTATATTTTTAACTACTATAAAATAGCAAAAAGCTGAATTTTGAGGGTAGGGATAGGTTTTTATTAAAAAAATAATAATAATAAATAAATAAATAAATTGTAAATGCTAATGACGAGTAAAATCCTTAAGTCCTACCCTACTGGAGATACACACGATCCCATTATCTCCTACCCCTCGACCTTTAATCATCAAAATTAAGCGTTAAGCATATTAAGCCATTAAATGTAATAAAAATATTACATTTTTCATGCAAAGAGTATTTATTTAGAATTTATAATTATGATTTTGAAAATAAAAATACTTCACAAATATTATTTAATATTTTTTTATTATATCAACAAAAAGAATTTCGTAAACTGATCGAAAATAAAACCCCAAATTAAATTCAAAATTGATTTTTTAAGGAATATTTAATTATGCAACAAATTTTAGTTCTAGTTAATCTTTTTTCATGTTGATGCAACTTCTCGTATCATTAAATTGACTTTTCTCCCTGAAAACCAAATTTAAAAATGCGGAATTTAAAAAACATTATTGTGTCGAGGTATAAATTTCATTAATAATTCATAATTCACGAAATCTTGAATAGTATTCTCAACTTTCCTTCTTTTTATGGAGGTTCTTCCGATGTAGCTTTTTGTGGTATTTGTTTTATTTCGGTTACATTCGAAACAGGAGCTTCAACGTCAGAAATTTCTTCAATGGTTGGTTTCTTAGCTTCGTTTTTAGGATCCTTACAAAATAATATTCTGACGGTAAAACAACAATAAATAATTACTATATTGAGTTATAAATTTCGTTAATAATTCATAACTAACGGGTTATTGAATGGTACATAGGTTCGAGTGAGATGGAGGACTTTCATGATTGTCGATCCCTGTGTCCTCTTCGGAGACATATAACTCGAGAAAGGTTACGTTTTCGAATTATGGTTATTTGGCTTTTTTGGTCTACAGGGATCGACAATGCTGGGATCCTCTCATCTCTGAGCTTCTTTAGAATCTTACTGCTCAAATTGCAATGCGCGTATTACGTGTTCTTACCTTTTTGGAATCATGATAAAGTTCGATGGCAATTTTTGATTTATCTTCCTTCAGCTGAAATTTAAATATCTGTGTTTAAACATTACATTTTTTTCGTACCATTGGTTTGCTTATTTAGCTGCTTGCCACAGTTTCTCCTAGCAACTTCGTGTAGAATCGAAACAGTAGACGGATCAAATCAAGCGGACAGTGAAATTACTTTATTTCAGTTCCAATCTAACTTTTTTTAGATATAGAAAATTTCATAAGAATATCAATAGAATAACATTTTTAACTTTAAACCCATTCTACAGCGCAATTTGTGATAAATGATTATAATTGTGATACAACTAAATGCACACCATCTACAGTTTATCATTCAATTATAATCATCACTATTCCAAATAAGTGGCGCAAATTTACATTAAATACATTGATTTGTTTGTTCTCTACATTTTGGCCTAAATAAATGGCTACTCCAATTAAGTGGATGTCAATCAATTTAAATATATATACATTATTTTATTTAATACAGGACCGATTCTTTGATACAAGAAACGATACGAGAAAAGTTTGCTTCATGCACAGTTTTAACAATAGCTCATAGACTTCACACAATTATGGATTCAGATAGAGTTCTGGTAAGTAATAGTCATGTGATTTCATAAAAATTTTCTTAAATTATTTTAAAATATATTGATTCTTATTTTCTTATTATATACACAAATGTATATAGCAATAACTTTTAACGAATTTATTCAGGTTTTAGATGCAGGGAGAATTCAAGAATTTGATGAACCATATGAACTTCTAAAAAATAAATCGGGATTATTTTATAACATGGTACAAATGACAGGAGCTGCAATGTCGAGACAGCTTTACGAAATTGCTAAACAGGCATATTATTTTCACAAAAGAAGAAACAAAATTAGTGATAAAGAAGAAAAGAATAAAAATGTATTTGGTGGACTTGGAGGTGAAAATAATGTGATAGTTATGAATGGAATTAATTTTGAACCACCTGCGTACGATACTATTATTACTCCAAGAGATTCTTTTGCACTGGAATATGGAAGGTTCGATGAAGAAGTCACAGCGCTATAAATATAAATATATCGGTTTAAAATTATAGCATTTTACTATAGCATTTCGAAAATGATCATACAGAACGATAAAATTTTATATATTTAAAATTTTTTAATTTTAATATTCTTGTATAGTAATTGTTTTCTTAAAATTTGTTCTCTTAATTCTTAAAATTAAAAATTAAAATCTCAAATAAAATAGGCCTATTTATATACGAATTGTTTGATAATATAAAAAAAATACTCTCTTAATGAATCATTCATTAAAATATTATCTGAATTTATTCAGAGCTGTTTATTGATGAGAAAATATATTATTATAAATGCAAATAATAATAACTTCAGAATATTTCATTCTACATTTTAATAAATTTATTTTTCTAGAAACTTTTCATTTCAATTAAGTAAATGTTTTTCCCCATTTTTAATCTTTCCGCCCTGTGAGCACTAAGAAGGTTCTTTTTCCATGCCATTATGGGTTTGACAAGGTCCACATTGGGGGCAGCCGAGTGATGAGAAACGGAACAGACCGCCATAAAAAATTCCTGAGTTGTCCAGATTTGATCCTGGTTCTCCCACAGTAGCAGCTGATACGTTAACCACCTTGTCATCCGGTCATTAAAGCAAATATATTAGTAAATATAGGTATAATTAATGAAAAATTAGAGATGATTCAGTATTAACTTCAAATAGAATAATCGAAAATATAGCTTTTAAACTAAATATCAGTACTTTTAATTTACAAGACTAGATGACTATATCACAAGATACTATATATGAATTTCATTCATATTCATGCTTATCTCATAGTTAATAGGCGGTGCAACCGTTATTAATTAACTGTACTTCATTAGTGTATTAAGTCATATTTCTAAACTCAAAATGGAAAATATTTTGTTTTTTAATGTATTTTTCAAAATAAATTCATGTTTTTGTTTAGTTTTATTTAATTCGTTTTCATAACACAGCGGAAATTACATCATTGCTAATGCCAACACGCAAGATCTTGTCAGTATAAAATAACTATAATTCTTATAAAAAAAGGATATAATTTAAAAAATATATATATTATATTCGCTTAATTACTGCGACAACGATATACCGCAAAGTAGACGCGCTATATCATTGTCCTAGTAATTAAGTGAATATAATATATTAGGAAGGTAGCACAGATTACTTGCCTGAATGGAATTAAAGTGTTACCGTGTGAATAGTCTATACTTACTATAGACTCTATATCCGGCCGGATGGCCGAGCGGTCAAGGCGGCAGCCTACCGCTCTGGGGACCTGGGCTCGAATCCGAACGGGTCGAAAAATCCCCAGGAATTTTTCGGGGGATGGTCCGTTCGGATATGTCGGGCCCCGTCCCTCACTATCCGGCAGCCCCATTGTGGGCCTGGCCGAACCCAAAATGGGCTTGCGAAAAGAGGCCCTCTTAGTGCCCATAGGGCGGAAAGAGTTAAAAAAAAAAACCTCTATAGTAAGTATATAAGTATTTAATATTCCACATCTAACAACTTGGGTCTTTTTAATTTCTGAACGGTACTTTCTTAATTCTAACAAGTGCCCTCTAGTAGACGAGTGTATAAAACCACCGAATAATAGTAGTTAGTTAGTCGTGGGTTCTGGCAACGGGCTGGCCACGTGCCGTTTTCCGGGTTTTCTTCACGTTAGTAACAGCTAAATAGGGTCCAGCTACCCATAAAAGTATTTCCGGGATGGAAAGACTTTTATGGGTATATCGTTCTCTCGACAGATCGCTCACGTATGACGTTGCGATAACCAAATAAACCAAACTAATTGTAACGTGCAATTTATTGTGACACTGTCACAATGCTGGGCTGCTATTTTTCGTCACAATGTTTTCAATTCTTTCAGTGGTGGTCTTGCCCTGTACATCATACTTTTCCTGTTAGCAATAGTCGTGTCCGTCATCTATCTAATTCCGTTTGGGGAAATTTTGAATTGAAGTAACGTGACTTCCGGTTTAAACCGGAAGTTTGTACAGTTAATCTGGGATTCCTGACCTTACGGTTTCTCTAATTTGTCTTGGATTTCATCTATCTAACTCTTTTCTCGAGATTAAGGAAGGACAGACAGCATACAGACAGGGGATGACAGGTTCATAGAAAAATTATTGGACTTTTTCAATTTTTTCAAATTACAGCCCGATAATTTTTCTATGAACGCAATATTTACGAGAACATACTTCTCATGTCGTTTATACAACCTGTGCCAAAATATATCAAATAAAAGAAATTATTCTAGCATTTTTGCAAGATTATTTTTATTTAAACAAGTTTTATACGAAGTCTTTCGGACGTTAAGGTGAGTAACTTCGATCATGTGCGGGACCATCACAACCATCGTTAAGCATCTATTCCGGGAGGAGGTCAACGACTACTTTCGGACGAATTACTCTAACCCCCCTTTCTCAACAGCCCGTCTTCCTATCGTACCAGCCGTATGGTTGCATTCGAATAGGAAAATTACATAATACAAGTTTACCAGCGAGCACAAAATATGATTTAAGTGGTTTTTTTCCGAAATTTGATTGGTTGGCAGGTTACCGTTTGATATTCGGTTGTGAATGAAACAGTTTCTCAGAGTTAACATTAGAAAATATTATATCTGAAAAATTTAAGATATATTTTCAATTCCTGTCTACTTGACCAATGAATTTGTGTCATTTCGTACCACCCGAGTATCGCGATAATATGACAATGGTAGGCTGAAATAACCAAACTCTTTATATGGTTTTCGTTTTAATGATTGTTATATTATAGTATTTGATTTATGTAGATACAAAGGTTATCTTGCGCAAGGCTTTATCACACCGAGTGACCAATCTAACACATTTTTAAAATTCTTTATTCCTCTATTGAACACAATTTAAAGAATTTTTAAAATGCATGACATTAGGCACTTGGTGTTTTAAATCCTTACGTAAGATAACACTCGTAGTTATATAAATCAAATACTATAATATAATATAATAGAAGGATTAGAAGCACGAAATAATCTAATAATCTTAATCCTTGCTGTTGTCAATTTTTGCCCGAACAATGCCGAGCTCATCTGCTAGTTATTAACATATTGACAAATTGTTGTTATAAAATTAATATAGAACTTACGGATTCATAAGTTATAAATAGAATCGATGAATTATATTAAAATGGAAATTTTACTTTCTTTTCTTATCATAAAACATAGTACTTTTTATTACTGAATGCGCCTAATAAATATTCTAAATGTATCAACACGCATCAATAATATAGATAAAATACATTTGAATCAAATAACTTATTGACAAAAAGTTAAGCTTTCCTGGTAGAATTATGTATTCTAATTTATAAAACACTCGACATACAGCTGCTCATATAGATACAAATAATTAGTTGTGGTTCGATGCAACCCGAATGCCTTAAAATCATCCCATTTATATTGTGTTAGTGTACTACTATAATATCTAGAATACACAGTGTATCAGCTAGAAAAAAGTTCTAAAATCGCTTTCATCTGATATGCTATCGACAAGGGAGATATAACTTTTTAATTGTAGTAAAAAAGAATATTTTTTTTTCTTTGATAATTTATAAAAAAATTTTCACGTTTATGGGAAATGAAATATACTAGTTTATATCATCAAAATTTGACTTTATAAAATTAATCTAAATATCATTTTTAATCAGTTATACAATATAAATTGTCTCCGGAGAAAAAACAGGAATGAAAATACACAACAATTTAGATTTAAAAAGCGTTTTTTTTCCTTAAAAAATCAGTTTTTTTTTGGACAAAATTATTTTTTATCAGCAGCTACTAATTGAATGGTGTTGAGTTAAGCCACAAGGCGACCCGGCTATCCTGATACTTATGTTTAAACTTTACAAACTATCATAAAAAAACAAAAAAAAATTGTAAATAATATAATGCACGGGACAGCATGATGCAACCTTGTCCAAATAATTTTTGCTGATGCATGCTTTCATAGCAAAGCACAATTCTATAAAAAATGCAAATCACCTGAGGTACAAGAAGAGATGAGTACAGTAGTTTGATTCCTCATAAAAATACGCTTTTAATCCTAAACGACTAAATTTCGCACAGACATTAACTAATAATTGGTCTAACTCACCATGTCATCAAATTACGAATTAAATTGCATATATGCGCTCCGTTTAATCGTTTTCGCAGCCAAAAGTTAGTTCTCTTCACACTTAAAATTTGAGTTTTTATTATTTTGTATCTGTAGAACAGCCTGGAGCAAAGAAATGTCTTTGTTAATACTTCTTGTTTACTGTATTAAAAGATATGTTATCATAATGCTTTCAAAATTAAATATCAATAAAAACATTTCCACTCGCATTGAAACAAATACAAACACCTAAGAAAAAGTCTCTTAGCTGAATTTAACGCTTTCTGGTAAGGCGAACGATTTGGGAATTAGTTTCACATTTATTGTATTGGGGGTGATACACTATGTATTCTAGACACTGTAGCAGTATCTATACAAAAGCTCTTAGAAGCTTAGTCTTCTGTATAACTTTGAGACAGCCTGCATCATCGGGATGAGGAAAGCAGTATGGCCGTTTCCCAAATTGACTGCCATCCGAGTCATTCTGGCCTGACCGAGAAATGGCCTGAGAATCGAGAAGTTACGGTGTTAATAAAGAAAGAAAGAACAAAACCTATCACTATCTAATGATAGCATATTTGCTTGTTTGGTAAGTTACGGCAACGCAACACTTGGGCGATGCCTTCCGGGAAGTCATTTTAAGGGTGACTAGTCCTTATTTAGGCGTTACAAACGTGGAGAAAACCCGTAATGCCGATGCGCGAATCCATGACCGAACGCCCGTTGTTCAGGGAACGGAAACGCATGTCCTGAGAACATATTCTTTTATGGCGTTTGAATCCGCATTTTTCAACGAAAATTTTTATTAATTATTGTAAAAATTAATGTAAAAAATAAAACAAATGAAAATTTCTTAATATCGTTACTTATGCAAAATTGTACTTGCCTCTAGAGAAAGACAATTTGCTTTTGAAATACAAAGTATTTCTAGAATTAGAGTAAAATATAGAAAAAACTTATCTAAACAAGGCAACTTTGACACTCAAATTTAAGAACAAAATATCGATGGGTATTAGGTTTACTGTATATGTGTTACCGCTAAAGGTCGAAAGCCGTTAATGTGTACAGTACATTATCTATCTAATTTGCAGATTAACTAGGATGATCCGTTAAAGTTGCGATAATTGTCCCATTTCTCAAATTATCTAGGTAATGTGAAGAGTATCTAGGTAATCTGCACATTACCTACTAGGCATTCCGTAAAGTGAAAATAAGATCTTTGTCACAAATAAATGTACCA